ACTGGGAGAACTTTAATGTTCCTCCAGGCTGTCAGAGCAGCCAAACAGGCTGCAGAGGTCAGGGATTAGTCCTGGCTTGGCTTCCATATGCTCTCTTGAGCACTATCTGAATCTCAGATGCACCATGTCTGCAGTTACGTATCTGTTCCAGATTGAAGCTCGGTTGCTTGCACAGCCTTGCAACAGAGAGCTCAGTTTAAACTCGGTAACTTTGCCAAGGTTTTGCATTTTGCGCTGAGATCTATGCTGCTACCATCACCCATGATGCCGAGTCAGCCCACACGTCCTCCTGCCACCCATGGAGTCACATGCTCCAAAGCAGAGCCTGGTAATACCACATCTGAGGGGCTACAAACCCCAGAGAGGACAGTTGCCTACATGTCCCAGGGACCCCGGCACAGCCAGCCCCCACGCTTACAGTGCTTGCAGGCACATCTCAAACTTCTCAAGAAAGGCTAATGAAAAAGGCACTACCAGAGCCCTGGGGCTAGAAAGCAGATGGGACAGGCCCATCTCTTGCTGTTCCAGTGCCCACGTGTGGTCAAGCCCTGAATCTTTTCCTCCTTTGCTTTGTCGCATCCAAACGCAAGGCAACCTCTTTGTAAAGAAAGCAAGTGTCCTCTGCTGGCTGCAAGCAGAAAGTGCATGTGGTGACACCCTGGCTACGGACAGCACTGGAGCAGGGATGTGTTCTGTGGAGTTTGTGACCTGACTTTGTTTTAAAGATGGATGATAAACCAACCATGAAATGGAGCCACAAGCTGGCTGCTTGCAGCATGGACAAAGGCAGGGGGTCAGGGTCTCTGTGCCTTCGGGCTGCGGGTGCAGGGCAGGCTGCAGCCCTTCTCCCTCACAGCCCCACTGCTGGGGGGGGAACCCCAAGAGGGTTCCTGGTACAGCCGAGGTAAGGCCTGAGACAGTGGAGGCTGGAAGGGAGCAGCTGCTCAAGAGGGGCAGGAGATCAGAGGTGCCCAAGGCACAGGAGTAGAGGAACTCTTTACCAGCACGAAGCACATTTTAGGCAGTGCCTGCAGAAAGGATGTAAGAGCGGGGGCCAGAATCCAGCATGCGTTTGTTCTCTGTGTTTCTGAAATAATCCCTTGGAGATCAACGGGGTTTCACATCTTTCCCCATCTGTTCTTAATCTGTTCGCTTGACAGATGCCAAACCACCATACCCCGTATGGAAAAACACAAAACAAAATACAAAGCCTTATATCTCCTCTGGTTTTATTCAGAAACATTCCCCCGAGCCTGACTCTTGTTCATGCCCCAGGCGTGTGTGGAGGCCCAGGGAGGAACCTGCACCGGGGACAGATCTGCTGTCAGCAGGGTTTTCACAGCAAGGCCCAGAGAAGGGGTGGTCTTCAGACTATCTGATGGAGCAGCTTTGTATTTATGCAAACTCAATGACTCAGGTTGGTGATTACCTGCTGCTGGCATCCCTCTGCTGCCAAGAAGCCTCCACTGACATCTCCCTCCTGTTGTTCCAGGCGCTGCAGACCCATAGAGCCAGAGACAGTCCTGGCCAGGCAGGAGGTTGGCAGAGAGAAGGGAACTGCCTTGCTAAAGGTCACAGAGCACACGGGGCCAGAAGGAAAACCAGCACCCTGAACCCCCCAAAGGCTCCAGCCAAGTGGTCAAGCAGCCTCTCATCCCAGTGCTATCTCAGAGTTCACCCCTGCAAAAATCTGTTGAGGACGTGAGCAACAGCATCTTAATGGTGCCCAAGAATACTTTAAGGCTGAGACTCGGTGATTACAGCACTGTCATTATCAGAGCCTGGAGCGAACCAACCTGATAATAAATAATACAGGATAACTCCCAACATTTAAAATTATTCTATCCTAAGCTGTTCCCATCCTCACCCTATCGATCAGAAGGCTGAGTGTTTGCAACAGCTCATACAGTAAATGGACTTTAACTTTGTTCTTTCAAAATACTGAAACAGGCTCTTTTCCGGACACTGCCATGTAATTTACAGCTCTATCACTAACTCCTTAATAGTTGCCAGGTTCTTTGGAGTCTTTTGAAAGGGAACACAATAAAAAGATACGGACCGAGACTGACCGCGAGTCTCATGTCTGCGGGTTCCTGCATGCCTTTTTTGGTCTTTTCAGCAAGCTAATGGAAATCAATTCTGTATCTTCAAGGCAAGATGATGAGGTTTTAGAGTTCCCCTGACTAGTAACAACAGAGAATTGATATAGCTCTACAGCACCCAAATGCCAGCGCATATCCATCTCAACTTTACCATTAGCCTCAGGTAAGAGAGGGAAGGGAGAGATTTCCTCTTTGCATATCATTTGCTTAATCAAGCTGAAACACAGTCCTGTCAGTCTGAAAACAGGTTTGAAAGAGTGACAGTTAAACACCTGTGCAATTTGTCCACTACCCCAAGAATGGGGTATTTATATAAGGTTTGGATGAGCAAAAAGGAAGGCTGGGAAAAGATTCAGCAGCTCTGATAGGAGAGAGAAAATGGCACTGTCTTGGGCTGTTAACATCACAGCAAGCCCTGCGCTGTTCAGAGACTGCTTCCCACCAGCCCAAGCCTATGTTAATTTAATAAAGGAAAACATCCTGTGCCTCCCCAGGTTGGCAAAGGTAGGATTTGGGGTGAAGGGGATCTCCTTTGCTTACTCTGCATGTTTTGCCAGTATCCCCCAACTCCCTGAAATGTCAAGAGAAAGATCAACAGAGTGAAACGTAATCTCAAAGAGAAACACAGTATTTTTTAAAATGCCCTCACAGCGGCAATCATCATAAAAATACAAACCTGAGGTTTGTAAAAGTCTAGCAATAAAACCACAGACATCTTTACAACTCCCAGATACACAGTGCTCCCCGGCAGCAAGCACAAAAACCCTCCCAGATGCAAGAGGCAAAACGATAACTGGGGAACAGGCCTAATTGTTTTACAGCCTGCAAAAAAAAAAACCCACACATGACACCAATTCGCAGGCCATTACCAGTCACCATCAGGAAAGATAAAATAAAATCCCTTCATTCTTCCTCACCTAGAGACCATGGAGCAGCTGAGTTGGATGGTGGTGGAATGTTACACTTCCAGGCAAGTACATATTCATAAAGCAAGCTCAGATCTTTGTGCTGTTTTCTGGTCATTTAAAGCCCTTTTCTTTGCTAAACCAGATTATAAGCATCTGTACTTCCCTAGCTAACAGTAGGCATTTTCTGTTCTATGGGAATAGAGATTATCTCTCTTAAAAGGTGAGGCAGGCCCTCAGGCAATGTAGCTCAGCTTCCCTGTGGGCTCTGGCAGGTTATTTTATATTTCCATGCCTTGAATCTCCCATCAGCAAAAGGAATCCTGCATTTCTCCCACTGTCCAACAAGGTTTAAAGTTCTTCACATGGGCACTGCTTATTAGTAGGAGGTGGTGGAGGACCATGGCAGCAGAGCGCTGGTTGTGTGGAAGGTGATCAGACTTACCTGAGCAGGATTATAAAGCACAGAGCGTGGTCAGTGGAGGACTTTCTGGACCCCCTGCGATCATTTTGCCTAGTACTTTCTTATGTGGTTGACTTTACTCTTAGGTACAGCCAGGATTTTGAACTGCCCACCTGTTTGCCTGTAATGCTGGGGGAGGCAGGCATCAGTTTCCTGAAATGATGGTACTGATTCAGCTTTTGACAACTGCAGTGACTCGTCTTTTCATCTGTCTGCCATGGAAATAAATCCATGTGGTAGCAATGATGGGAAATTACTCAGAGAGAAAAAAAAAAAAGTTCAATGTAGGCCAGATTTAAAAAGTCCAGAGTAAACACAGCCTCAGCCTAGTACCATACAACTGTCAAGTCACATTGCAGGAGGATTCTTGATGCTGATAATCTTAACGATTCTTTGGGCCATGGGTGCATCTCCCACTGCAAATCTGCTTCTCTAAAGCCACTTTATCACTGACCTGAAAGGAAGTAATCATGGCGTGTATGTGAGGAGAGCTAATGAATGGTAATAGCTACAGCACATGTAGCAGGTCTAACAACACAGACGAGGTTCTCTATTTGTATTTTGCTCCCAGAACATAGAGGTCACTGGCCTTTCTCCTGATGATCTTTGATAGAATACAGTAGGTAGAGCCTGGGCATACATATATAAACCTGTCAGTGATTACTTACATACTTAAGAGATTTTTATTTTTTGCAAAAGCCTTAAAAACAAAATGCAGGTGTCACAGGTCTTAAAAAAAAAAAAAAAAAAAAAAAAAAAAAAAGTTCTTCTCTTATTTCTAGGCTGTTCAGAACTTGTCTTCTTCCTTTGTGCATTGATTGTCTTAAGTTTAGCTGCCTAGCTGAAAGCTGTTCTGGGATTTAATGCCACCCTTTCTGATTGAAATGAGAACCCTTACTCCCCAAGTTCCTGGGAAAGGCCCATGATATAACTGAAAGGTGGGAACTGCTTTTGCCCTTGTTTGTACAGCCACGGAATTCTGGCTAACAGCCATCTCATGAATTAATGCTGAAAATAATGGATTTTCTAAGTCTGGTTGGTAAAGTGGAGATAAGGGAGCTGAGTAAGGGGATGATGCCTTCTCCCAGACAGCAATTGTAGCAATGTTTTACATTCAGGGAGTAGGTCAATCCACGTGCACATTTAATGGATGAGATAAGGGCAGCTTGCACTAAATTAGCTTTCTGGACAATGTATGATATCAGAGATGCAAAACCCTCCTGGCTGCCCGCTGCTGGAAGGAGCTGCCTGCCTGCACTTCCAGGCCTGGCAGATCTGTTTGCAAATGCTGCTCTCTTGTACTAAAAACAAAACGCTGATGTTCCTGAGCATCCTGCTATAAAGCAAATGACCACTAAGACAGTGGAGGCCAACGTGCCACCTTTGGGATATGGCTGACCACACTTTACTCAGCACCATTTCATTAGTGGTAAGCCATGCTGCAGCAGAGTTACTGCCAGAAGGATCTCTGTGTTGTGCCCTGCTCCAAGCAGAGAGACACGTGTGAAGCTCATGGCAGCCTGTGCCCACCTCCTGCTCCTCCAGCCCCGGATGTCTGGCTGGATTAGGCGTCTCCTGGATCCTGACCTGCTTTCTCCAGTTCTGCTCCTCAACAGACATCTGAGCCTCAGTTTCAGCACTTGTCATCAGATGTTACTTGTTCTGCAGCAGGAGGCTTCCTCTTGTACCAGGAACCCCACTGGCCTAAGTGTTGTGCAAACAAAGGAAAAACAATAACTAAAACCAGTTTCTGCCTTGAGGAGCTGACAGCACCTCCCTTATTTCTCCCAGCTTCTGTAAATAAATCCTTGGTAATGTCACTGTTTTTCAGAGGACGATAAAAGGACCTGTCGTCACTCCCTGACAGTGACTTTTCCTGCCATTCACTAAGCTTTCCCCTCCCTCTCCCATGCAGAGAGAAGTTTGTTAAAAATTAGATCTCATCTGATGACTGCTAATTATCTTAGAGGCTGTTGGTTAAGATGCAGCAAAGGGACCAAAGACAGCACTCAGGAACAGCCCTGCGGGAGGAATGCTGGCTTGGCCGCTGTCACTGAGCAGAATTAGGCCTTGAGTATTGTAACTGATGCTTCTCCAGTGTGATGTCTGATAGCAAAGGTACTAAATAAGGGTTAGTATAGAAGTCTCTCTATATACACGCACACTTATGTACATTTGGTTCTGATTTTTAAAAGCTTCCCTTTTGGGGAGATCACATCGCCCTTCAGATTTTAACATTTTGGTTGAATTTCATCCTGGCTGTTATTCCCCACTCTGCACCAAGCTCTGGGAAAGACTGCTCAATAACTTTCCCTTGTCCTACCCCCAGCACACTGCTGTCAAGAGCAGAGGACTTGTGCAACCTGCGGGCGGCCTGCTTGCAAGGAGAGACGGCCACTCCAGCATGGTCTCCTTCCGACAGGGTGAATGTGAAGCTAATCCCAGATTCTCATCTCAGCCACACTGATCTAATTAATAGTAACTCTTTTGGCTTTATAGGGTGGAGGGTGTCTGGATTTAGATCTGCATTACCAGAAACAAAACCTGGCTAGCTGTGCATGTTGATACTACAGATGCAGGACAAAGAGGAACAACAACCCGTGTGCTGGAGAGGTGATTAAACTTTTCTGCTTCCAGCTCTGCAGCCTGCTGCTCTCTCCTGTCCCTGTAATCTGTGCTCTTTAAAAAACAAAGCAAGCAAAAAGAAAATAAGGAGAAAGAGGCACCTTAAAATCAAAGAGCCAGCAAGAGTGGGAAGACACACTGTCTCTAATGTCCTGGAAAATCTCTGTCCCTGCTCCTATAGAGCCTGAAGAGCAAACCCAAGACCACAGAAAGCACAGGGTAGGAGGCAGATCATCTGAGCCACACACGGGACAGGATCACCCTTGCCCTAACCTCTCCCTAACATCTTCCTGCACTCATCTCCAGTTACCAAATCAGCATGGCCCTTTTAAAGTATGCATGGCCCCTCCACCAAGTACACTCCAATTTCCACTCATCCTCTTACCTGGTCCCTCTCTCAGTCCCCAGGCAGCACGGAAAGAAGAGCCCAGGGCTGGCGCTGCTGCTGCTGCTGTGGGCACTGCTGGGAGCCATCCTTCCTCTGCAGGCATTGCACTGTCTGCCCAGGCTTTGCAGCTCCTTGATTTATTTCTATATATAAACTTTGGAGATGTTTTATGCAAGCAACGTGGCACATTTCCAATGCAGCCAGGCCAGCCTGCAGAGGGCATGCAGGGCTACATGGCGGGGGATCAGAACAATTCTTCAGCTGGTCCTGAGACAGACTGGCCAACGTGCGACTCTCTGCTTAGCAACAAGGTCCTGGCAGTCTGTGCAGACAAATACATCCCATCAAATCCCGGCAAAGCCACCCATGCAAAGAGTTCCCTGCTCTGCAGAGCTTGACCATATGGCTGAAGAATAAGTCATAAAGGAACAGAGGTCTTTAAACCAAAGTCCAGGACTCGGAGGTTCTCAGATCTGGAGTCTGTTTGCTCGGTTTTCTGCCTGATCCTGTCAAATCATTGGAGTTTTTGTCCCAGCTTCCCCATGGATTTTCTGTTTGACCCTGGAGTGGTTGCTTAGAACCAGTCTTTGAAAGGATGCCTGCAGTTTTCTGACTGCATGAAGCACTGATAATTGGTACAACCCACAGGCAGCATAGGGCCTTAAGGACTGCTGCACATCTTATCACAGCTTTTTGTGATCTCTGATTTTGGTGGAGCATAAACAATGTGAGATTTTACCATAAGATGCTCATATCTCAGGCCTGTGTTTGCACTTCGATGGATTGGGGATTTGAATTTCTGGAGAAAAGCCCTTGGCCATCTCCAAAGTTCATGAGTTGTGTTCGGGGCCAGAGCTTCCTCCAGCCCAACTCTGGAAAAAGAAGTCGCTGAGCTATAGTTAACTGTGTTACACAGCACTCTTCAGGATTTTTAAAGATCTTTGTGGATATTAATGACATAATTACCATGCTTGCAGCACGCTGCAAGACAAAGATATTCCCATTTTGAACATGAAGAAACTGGGGCAACTCAGTGGGCTGCTCACCTGGCAAGGGGCAGCAGCTGGTGCTGCTGAAACAGAGCAGCCTTTTAAAGGATGACAGATTGGGGTGATGTTTGCAGACTGAAACTTCACAGAACTGAAAACTTCAGAGAAACCAGGGGGATATGGAAAAAAGTATTTAGGGACTATTTCAATTTTATTTCTGAAGGAATGTATTTTCATCCCTTTGTTTCCAATACGTTTTCCTTACATGGGGTACCAGGGTATATTTCTGTTGTATGAATGTCACATCTTAAGGTCCGTTAATAAAAAGCACTTCCCTTCCAGCAGCACAGCTGGGGGCTTTTCCTTCATCTGTGTTAGGTTATTAGGGATCCATATTGAATTTAACATCCTTCTGTCTTCCCTGCCAGGATGATTCAAATGGCAAATGCATTTCTCTTGGCACCGGTCCTAAATGAATCAGCTTCTCAGACTAGTTCGTCACCTAACGGGATCCTAAATTAAGAGTCCACATTTTATATGAAAAGCTGGATGGAACTGAGATAAAATGGAAGGAAAATCACGGAGGTCTTGTTCTCTGGGTCTATGTCTGCATTTTGAGTTCAGCCTCTCTGCGCAGCTGCTGCATGAAGGAGGGGGAGCCACGGGGCGTGGGGAGCCACCAGCTGCCAGCACCGCTGTGCCCAAGGCTGGGGAGGTGCCGTGGGGACACAGCTCACACCAACCCCACGCTGGTGGGACACAGCAGCCTCCCCCTTCCCACTGCAGGGCCTTTCTCCATCACCACTAGTACACTGAAACCTCCCCCTGTACCAGTCTTTTCACTTAGAATTTAAAACTGGTCTTCTGTGGTTTTAGCTTTGACTAAGAACTAATAAGCTTTCTTAAAAATATTTCCCTTTAGGTTTATGTTGCGCTTCATTTTCCTCAGCTTTAGGAGCCGCAAGGTGCAAAGCATGTGTAGATCCGTCCTGTGTTTCCTCACACAGATCAGAGTCACACTGAAGGTAAGTAGATCCACCAGCTTGCAGCTTAATGCTGAATCTGATTTGGGCGAAGGTGTGAAATAGTCATGTGTTGGGTGTAGTATTTCTTTTTCCTTAGAAAATTATTATCTCTAAGTTCTAGAAACTCGTAATCATCTTTTTCTGTTGTCTTCTTTAAAAAATGAAGTTTCTGCCTCTTAATTTTGAAGTCACTTAAATGAAGTATCTTCTTTCTATTATGATCATGGAAAAGACAAGTGTGCAAATCTGGATGCAAGATAAATCTTATCAGGCTGTTCCTATGTGTGCCATTCACAGGGGAGATGTCCTGGTCATGGGCAAATCCCCGATTGCCCCGACCTTTCTGTACTCATTAGTTGTGTGGGAATTTCTGTGCATCTCAACTTGTGTGCATCTGCCAGAAATAGAATCACATGCCAGCGATTATGCCACGGGGCATAATCTTCCACATGGTTTTACGCAGGAAATACAGATGCAGAAATACCCGACCACGTAGGGCTGCACACCCAGGGCCTACCCAGCTGGTGCGCAGTTTAAGGTGGCGTGTGTACGTAATTCATGCAGAAATGACACTGCAGAGCCAAGGTGCGTGTGGGGACAGGGACAGACTGCAGACGTTCCACCCCAAGCAGTCTGCTGCCTCGGGAGGGCACTTCACACGTGAACCGTTCCACACGAGTTCCCCCAGCTCCACGCACCCTCCTTTTTTTCCTCCCAAAACACCCACCGAGGCACGTTCCCACGGTCCATCGGAGCAACGCACAGCTGCTGCTCACAGGCGTGTTTCCAGCCCCCCCCCCCCCC